GAGAGCATTTTCAAAAAGCTGTGTTTTCCATGAACGAAAACGCCGTCTCAGTGTGGACGGGAGGCCAAAACAGAGAGAAAAAGATGTTTGTACCTTTAGTTTCAAACAAAAACATATTAGTGTGGACATGGCCTTAATCTAAGTATTTCATCTATGTGGGGCCCTTCAGTGGGGCTTGTTAAATTAAGATTAAATAACATTCACTCTACCTTTAGTTTCATATGTTTGGCTGCCCTAGCATTTGTGTTTGAAGGATTTTGATTTCTTCATGCCAGCTATGTGGTGATAATGTCAGAATCCCTGAGTAGTAATGCTGTATGGACATGAAATGAGCATTTTCCATGCAAAGTATGGGTAACTGGAGCAATTTGCTAGTGACCAAAGTCATCACAAAGACATTTTGAATACAACAGCCTCCTTGTGACCAATTCCACTTAGAAACAGCCAGCAACCACCACCAAGCATTTGCCAGCTGGTTGGGGAATAAACCACTTTTCCCTAGTGACAGGAGTTTGGCAGAGAGTCATCTCTAGGTCGCATATAGCTATTTTTGTTTGTTTCTCTTTTTTACATTGCAAAACAAAGATACTATTTAGCTAAATGGTAACCTATGGGATTTGTACAGTGGACATTACTGTTAACAACAGGAGAAGAGCACTAAGACTAGTGAGAGGTCCCGGGCTTAACAGTTCAGATGTTGGAAAAAATGCAGTTTAACAGAGTCCAACAATAACACGCATACTTTTACCCTTTCTTGTAGTAAATAACTTACCAAAAAAAGTCTTTTTACTGGGAGCATGTCGAGACTATGAAAATCAATTGTTTTCAGCTATCAGTAGCAGCGCTGAGCACTCCATTGTTAGCAAGCAAGATATGATTTTATAGAGTTGTGCAATGACTTCAGTAGAGTTTAACTTGACAGTCATTAAGATTTCCTGCTGTCAAATCAGGTTCACCTTCTTATTTTGACATTCAGCTAACAACAGTTTTCTTATGTGAATCTGTAATTGAAATGTTGATTATCTTAATAATGAACCTTTTCTGTGCTGCTGTTGAAGAAACACTTAGCTGAGATGAGTCACTGATAAGAACCCTTTAAGTTTACACATCACATACGAGCTTCGAGCTAAAGTATTTTTCTCAAGGTCACACAGTGCTGCAACCGTTTAGTGGGAAGATAAAATATTATTTTTTGTTTGGACTCTGCTGTAAGAAAACCTTTTAAAACTGAAAGTACTGGCAGTGAGATCACTTGTCCATAATGAAAATAAATGTTAATTCCTCATTCGTCGACCTCTGCCAGAGCAGTATTGTCCTTTTTGTGAATCTGCTAATTTATGTCAGTTTCCAGAGATAGAAAAAGTTTGAAACATTTGAAATGCTGAGATGAATCATAAGAAAAAGGTCTTCCATCAGTAGCTGAATAAGGATCACTGCAACAGTTGGTATGATCCTCACACATCCCTGAGCTCAGTATTACGTTTGCTACACTTTGTATGTGGACAGGTGATTTAAAAAAAAAAAGAAAAAAGAAACCTATAACACACCTACTTGTGCTGAAAACCTTTGACACCGCTGTACAATGATATACATGCGTGCGAGCTACACAGACCCTGGAGCTACAAACAAAGTGCTGTAATTGCAGAGAAAACCTGAAAGATTTGACGAAGAAGAAAGGTGGAAAATGAAACAATCGTGCGGATTTAAAGACAAACACGCACTCATGAGCTCTTTCCTGCTCATAAACACTAACATGCACAGACAGTGTTCACACGCACGTACACTGGTGAATTCATCCGTGGACTGAATAGCTAGAGGGTGCAAACTGTACAAATGTTGCACAAATATGACACTACAGTGCCAGGGGAGTTGAGTGTTTTGCCTGCTGTCTGCAGATGTATAGTGCCCCATGTCTATTTCTCATTTGTGACAACCACAACTGGAGATGTAGTAGAGCTTCAGCTGATTTAAAGTGACAGGTACACAAGGCCACCTTATCCATCACTGGGGAGTGGTCGGCATTCCCTGACTCCCAAATTGCTGCCCTATTTGCAGTCCCTGCTCCCACCACAACCCCACCTATAACGAGATGATCTATAGCGCGCCAACAAACCCCAACAAAGGTGTCAGATTGCCAGGACAAATAGGCAACAACAGACTTAAGGGCAGGAGGTAATCTTTTTCACATGCTTCAAAGGCGTGGTGCAAGGGAATTCATTTTATTGTGCCCATGAGCTAGTATACAAACTGTACTCCTGTTTTCGTATTTTATTTCTGTCCTCTCTCAGAGCATCTTCCCTTCTTCTCTCACTCCTGTATTTGGACTAAGAATCAAAAATTTCAAAAGTGAATGTCTGTTTAGAAATGTTTTTTTGCTGGGAGTGAGAAAGGGAATATTTTTTTCTCCCCCCCCTAGCTAACACGTCCAAGCAGCAGAAGATAGTGGCGTTATTTTAGAAAAGCTTCACACCGCTTATTAACTTGCGTCTTACCTTGCTTAGCTGACTGACCGGTGAGCCACTGTTGTTGACAGTGTGGCATTTGAAGCTGAGCAACGATTCCCCCATGGCATCACGCTCTCTGCTCATGTCCTTATCAGAGTGGGAGTGGCTGTCAGGACGGGGTGAGGTGGCAGTTGAGGGGGGCTGTCGAAGGGCTGTGCAGCACAAACCGTGGAAGTTTGACGGACGGATCAGAAAGGCCTCCAGAGCTATGTTAGCAGATACCTAAGATGAGCATCCCAGGATTTAGGAGTGGGGAGAGAGAGGTAAGGGTAGGAGAGCGGCGAGGGGAGGAAAGACAATTTTATATTTTTTTAATTTAGCCACTGCTTTTATCCCCAATGACAATGGGGAGGGAAAAATAGAAGAGGAAACCAAGAAAGGAAGCAAATTATCCTTAGCTTGCTTTGTTTTCACTATCTACTTAAGCCAAATTGACTTCTCATTATTCTAAACCACGAGAAAAAAGTGAAAGCTTTGCGTCATTTAGCGCCATAAGCAACCCTTGCCCTGAGTGTGGCCTTGAGTGTGAGTATTTTTTTTGTAGTCCAGCTATACCTTAGAAATGGCCTGATTGTCTCCAGTCAGCGCCAGGTCAGCAATTCGCTCCACACACTGGACGATTCGAGTGCACGCCCTGGCCTCATTCTGTGCCATCCACAGGATATGCTCCTCCACCAGCATCATGTTGCTGGCAATGTCTGATATATAGTCCCCCAGCTGAGGAAGCACAAGCAGACGTTTATGCAAATGGTTGCTCGCGCACACTAACACAAACTGCACTGTACGTGTACAGCACACACACACACACGCACACATGCAAGGAAGAAGCAGACTCATCATGCACATCAATCATAGAACAACAGGCACATTTGTAATCTGCAGCCAGGATTGTGAGGGAGGCAATGGTGGCTTCATTCATTACAGGGAGATTTAATTTAGATTAGGAGCTCCAATGGGGCATAATTGCTTCCTAAGGATGGCAGTTCACTATTTACTTACTGTACTTTTTATTGTTGCTTCATTGGGCTGTTCTTTATTCCGTGAATGAGGGTGGTCTCGTCACCATTGTCTTAGGAATGATAAAACTCTAAGTATCTCCTAATAATATGTCCTCCCGAGTGACCTGTGTTGAATAATTGCACAAGTGAGAGCTAATATTGATTCTTTTCACTGACTAAGCCCAGCACCGTTCCCCCTCACACAACCTGACCTTCAGTGTGATGCCAGTATAACAATCCCATTGCCTCTACTGAAGAAATTCACTCAGGGTAAAAACACGACTCGCCCAAAGATGCATCTTAACAATGATTCCCATTCAGGTCCAGTGCCACAATGGCCAGTGGGATATTGTATGAGGTGAGAAACATGTTACTGTGTCTTATAAGGAAGCTTCTGTGGTTTCTTGTTGGGATCTGGTGAGCAGTGGTTGTGCAGACGTTCATCAGTTATGTGGTCCTAATTGCTAGTTGCAAGTCTTAATAGATACATGTTCAATTAGTAAATCATGGTCCCTGTTAGAGTCAAAAAGCTTGATAACGTAGGGTATCTTTAGAGAAGGCCTGCACTGTGATCGACAAGTCACTGACATTTCTTGGTTTTTTGGTTTTTCAGTGATATTGCTTGTCTAGTGCAAGAGCAACTAACTGATGGGTAATGTGATATGGTGTAGTCTTTAGGGTAACCTCTAGATGAGCATTAAACAAAACCTTATTCTTTCTTAGGGTGATGGAAAAATGAATGAATGAACATGTGCGCAGATCAGAATAGGAACTGCAATTAGAACTATTGAAACAACAAACAAAATACCTTCCTCTTTAGACCTAATAGCTGCTGTCTAATTGTCACTGTAGACAAGAATAGCACGTTGCAGGTATTATATGTTTCGCAGGGTTCCCCTCCTACTGTCCTGAGTTCCCAGAAAAGTTACTTAGCAAATCAAGTTCCTCTTCTGACAGTTAGACGAGCCGATGGCATAAGCTGGCTGACAGTGAAACGGGTCAGATATTAAAATGGAGACCTAGAAACAACATGTGTTTTCACTTTTAATAAGCACTCTTTGACAAGAGTAGGACTGGCTGATTTAAGCTAAATAACTGTCATTAAGGCCCCAGTGACTACAGTCTAAAGACCGGCTGGTGGCAGCCCAGCAACCACCATTTGCCAAGGAAAAATGTGTATTTGCAAAACCAGTTGGTGAGTGGTTGCAGGAGGTTGCTTGCAGTCACTCACATTGGTTGCAAAGACGTACAGGTTATGCCACTGAAAACCTTGTAATTGCTTTTACAGTTCATTCACACAGCATCTTAGGGGTTTGATTCTGTTTAATTCAGTTGTAAAATATTGGGATGATTCCACTATAAATGCATTGGATGTAGTATATTTCTGTGCTTCCTCTTACATCTTTATGTTTCTCCACCAGCCTCGTTAGTCTCTCCACCAGGTGGGTGACATAAATGACATCCATGACATCGGTGAAGTGCGCCGCCCTGCTGGTGAAGGCCACCAACTGCTGTCCAAAAGGCTGAGCGTTGGTCGTATTAATAGGTATCTGGAAGAGAAATCAATATATTGTGCAGTATGCAACAATTTTCAGAGAGGACGAACATGACGGCTTGTTATAATAATTCCACAAAAACATTGCACAGTTGATAAGATGAAAATTTCAAGAATTTGTGTAGTTTTGCAAACTTTGTCACTTTAATGAATCCTTTGAGCAGAAGTAGACTAAAGCAGCTTGCATATAAATGTTTCATACACAGATCTGGAAATACCTGCAGGCTACAGGTGAATCAAAGCAACTGGTAGTTTTCAGGGAATATGAACTTGAAATCTTGCTGTTAAGAGTAAGCTGGAAAATTTCTAAATAAGGATTGATGGACAATTTAAAAAAAAGAAACAGAATCCATAAATGAATCCTGTTTCCCAGCAGTTCTCGGCACTAGTTCTACACTAATGCTGATACCTGGGTGAGCTCATGCAGCACACGGGTCAGTTCACTGGCATAAGGGCACTGAGTATAGTCCTCCTCAGCCCACCGCCCAGCACGGTCGCAACGTCGCCACGCCTTCTTTTCTGCCCGGCTCGAGGGGTGAGGAGCGCTGCCAGATGGGTGAGGGGCAGAGCCAAAGGTGGCAGGAGCACAGGGTAGGAAGGCCAGGATGCCAGCCAGCGTCTTTGGCCACCTGCCAAAGAAATATCAGAAATATCAGGATCTACACAAACGGCACCAGATGGCAATTTCATACTCCCTGTACTTAGGAAAGTATTAATTTGCATAAATGATTTACAGCTAGGCTTAATTATTTTGCAGATGACTCCCAGATTCTTGACTGTGAAACACGCGTCTGTCTTATTAATGACTTCTGAATTAATTTTATTTACCAACTTTATTAATGAAGTTTATTGTCTATTCACTTGATGCAGTGAAATTTATTTTTTGTTAATCACAAAAGACATTTAAAGGTGTTGATGTCTTCTCCCCTCTGCTTGTGATGGTTTCCTCTGGCTTTAGCCCACATTTGAGTATCCAAAGACATCCACTTTTACCTCCTGTGGCTCCAGATGTGTGAAAAAATAACTTGTGTGATGTCGTCACAGTTATTTTTGATATTTTTAGTTTCTTGAAGGCACAACAGAATAAATACTCTCAAGGTGATCTTTGGAAAAGCTGGCTTTGTGGAGTGGCACAGCTTGACCCATACAAGGGCCTGAAAGTCAGGATACCTCATCCTCTACTCTGTTCTGAACTGTTTGTAACTTCCACAGCATACTGAAAGAGCGTTACAAAATCGCCTGCGTACCCCATTTAAACATGCACCACAGTGGCAGATGGAGAATGTCAGTGAAGGATTTATATTTCAAGCAGAACCTGCTCTTGCCTGTTACTCCTAAAGGGAAATTCAAATTAAGTGTTGTTCTTATGGTAATACAAAGTTCACTGAAGACTCCTCTGGAGCAAGAAATGAGACTTTCTCAATAATGTCATCAAGAACCAAGTCCTGGAGCTGCTCTACTGACCAACCTATGATAGGGGCTAGTGTGATTTTACAGTCAAATGGATCATTTCCATTTTCTGGGTAATGCCTGTTAGTGTTTCAATAAAATAAAGCTCATTAGGGTGTAAAAAGGCAGCCAAACATTCACAGTCTAGGACACTAGCCTGTATTTCGCAGATAACAAAAGAACTCCAGGTTTTGTTACTTGGCATCACCGTATATTAAAGGTCTGTGTTTCTGTAGCCTTAGGACAGAGCGGCTTGTGTTCTCACATGTTGATCAATTTGTCAACAATCAAAGAAGGAGCATGTGTCTCATGTTCGTGGTTTTATGCTAGAGGCAGCATCACATTGTACTTCAGAAAATAAGCTGAAAAAATGTGTGAAAACAAACGCTTTTGACTTCATCAAAATTAAAATAAAGGAGCAGTGCTCTCAGGAGGCTAGTAATCTGTTCTGAGGGTAGAGACCTGCCATCACACTACTCCCCACCCCATTCTCTTTACCCCCACCTCTAGTCATCCACATTGCTGCTGCTGCAGCAGCTACTTAGTAATAAATGGCATTAATTTCGCCCCCAACAAAAAGGGGGCTCATTTTCCAGCCCATTACTCCAATGCTCCAGCAGAAACAAAGCCTCTGTGCTTGCTGCACTAGAAGTGGGCTGTAAAGTACAGCAGCTACAAAAGAGTGTACACGACAACAGCACACCCACAAGGGAAGAGAGGTGGAGGGTGTGCGTGCATGTATGTTAACAAATACAGTTTTAACGTGGTTACATGGAGTCGAGGACAGCGAAAATGGAGTGCACAGTAGATGTGTGGCGTTTTTCTTCTGTCTATGTGAGACTTTAGTTATTCAACTTGTTCTCTGTAGTCATGATATAAATCTGGACTACAATGAGCCATAATGTGTGTAGGAGTTTTTCTATTGCACATAACAATTATTAAATAATATGAACTGTCCAGACTCTGCTGTACTAGTGAGCCAAACTTAGAGGAAGGCAAACCAGTTGTAAGATGAAACAAAAAAAGGCACGACACTACCTAAAACCAGACTTAAGTACCTTGACTGGGCACTCTATAGAGGGATAGCAACAGAGTGAGTTAGTTCTGTGATTAGAGTATTAATTTTTATAACATGCTACTTTATAATTGGAAATATTTCTTGTGAAATAAATAATAGTGGGGTTAAACTATTGCTTTAAATATCAGGAGACTTCCTGGTTTCAGCTTTGAAAACCAGTCCAAGCACAAGACCAAAGTACAATGTACAGGCAGATTGAAGGAAATTGTTTATTTACATAATATTTACTAGAACTTTTATTATTTATTTATTGATCAATGGTCTTTGATCAATGATCAGTGGGCTTTGATCAGTGGTTGTTGATCAATGGTCATGACAATTTTCATATTACTGATCAAGAAACTGACCTCACAGCCCATTGTTCATTCAGTGTACTGGTTTCAGTTATTGTGCAATGTACTGTTTATAAGGCTGGGGAAACCTGCAGTCAGCTGACACTCCAGAAGTCACTTGGATGAGTGACGAAACGTTTCTCCCACTGAAAACGCTACATCCAGATGAACAGAATCAACCTTTGGGACTAACCTAGCTAGGTTAACAGTTAATAGAACTGCAAAAGCTGGTTAAGCTATAGATTATAGGTTTTTACAGTAATCAGTGTGTCAGTTAAGATGGATTTTATTATCTCTGAAAAAAGCGAGACTGACTGTTTCCAACCATATCATTTTAAATCCCAATGTAAATCCCATGTACTAATGCTGTAGAATGAGTATGTGATGATTGGTGGGAACTCTTGCTCATACCAACTATAACAAAATTCAGCTAATGGGTTGTGAAGGGTGTATTTTAACACAAAACACAATTCTTTACCTAACCAGTTTTGTCCCTAGATATAGGCAAAAAGCAAGTGATGCAAGTAAAAATGAATGTGGGAAAAGCAGATGTTCTGGACAGCAATCTTCTGGTTGCAGGTAAGTGCCTCCAGATACAGATATTGCTGGGGTTTATTTTTCCTCCTCACATGAGAAACATACATCGAAGGGGTATCTGCATGTGTCAGAATATGTTGGTGATGGGGTATGAGAAGAAGTGGTTCCTGACCAAGCCACAACTGCACAAACACATGAAATGTACCAGGTTTCTTATCCAACTCTCCAAAATACATTTATTATTATTTTGAGACCTTTTTTTCCAAATCAGCCTGTATAATAAAACTGAAAAACTAATCTGCCATTGTCTGTGGCTGCAAGGTCACTCACCTGAAGTCCCCCTTGTTGTTGGTGACTCTGTCAGCAGGGCAGTATGATGCTGACGTTTCCAGAACCACGATTTCCATTTGCTGAGAAGTGTTGCCACGGGAACTGGTCACCAGGCACTCCCAGATTCCAGCAATGGGCACATCGATGCTGGAGAGAATAACCTCGCTGGAGGAAGAGAGAAGACACGTAAAACTATGAAAATGTGTTTTTAAAATGACATATCCATGAGGGGTTGTGTCAGTGAACCTCTTCCTATGAGATTTAGGAGAAGTTCGAAGTACCGAATTAGAGCCTAGTCATACATTTGGGGTTAAATGTAGTTTTAGGATTAGTTTTCTCTCGCGGCTTGATTTTAGGGTGCTTTGAATTATTTTTGGATTAGACTAAGGATTAAAGTCAGTCAAAAGGCATAAAGAGTTAAGGTCATCTTAAGACGTCTGTAGAGTGCAAAGATGTGCGTGCGCTTGCGTGGTTCACCCGATCTAATTCATTCAAGGGACCTTTGTCCATATACAAGTATGTGGTAGCTTAAAACGTTGGCTGTGACTTAAGATGATCATTACTCATGCTTATCTTTCCTACTTTGTCACAGCGATTCCTATCTCAATGGAAAATGCCTGATTAAACAAAGAATGGTGAAACGGTGACAAAGAGCCAATGCAGGGCCATTTGCCAACGCGACTAATCTTGAGGATTTTACTCGTTAAAAAAAAACAGAAAAGCCGCTGGAGATGGCTAAGCAATGGGAATAATCACCATGGAAATTCTACCTCCTTAAGAAATGCCAACTGTTTTATTTTCAAATACAATCCAGTTGTAGTCAAATATACACTTTGCTTTGTGTCTGTGTAAAAACCTAATGCCTTTTTTGTGTGTTAATTAAGCTGCATGTGTTCGTAATACACAGTATGCCACTGTATACCCCCACTCGGCTGCATAAAGTTTTTAAATGCGACTTAAGGAACAATGCTGCACAAATGGGAAAGTATTACAGCTGACATGGAAAATCTGAAGTGACAGACTGGACAAGAAACGAAAATCTTTCAGAGTAAAGATGATTAGTGGCTGAGTGGCTCTGATGCGCGAAAGCTGTAATCCCAGAAAACATTTATCAGACGGTGTGAGGAAGGCATTTATTTCGAAAAATGAAATGCCTTCGTTTTTTTCTGCTTCTCTCACTCCTCCCTGTCATCCTTTTTGTCTCAATATGCTTATTAGCAAAATCATTTCCGGCTTCCATGCGTGTACTTCAAGAAAGTCAAAACAACCATCCCGACAACCAACACATGTAAACATATTCACACATCCCAGCCTAATACTGCAAAACAAAAACAGGACAATATCTTCTACACAGTATGAAAAACCTACAACTCTGCTTTCCCAACAAACCAAAAAGAAAGAAATATTATCTTAGAACCAGATATTCGTAGTACAGTATGTAAGTGAAATAACTAGTTAAAATACCAATATAGTTTATGTATATAACCCTGGTTAAGCTTTTTTTATTCAATTTACTAGAACAAATAGAAAGACTGGCATTGATGTGGACATATAAGTAAAGCTCAGAATAGCTCATAAAGTTAGTTTTACACTTCAGAAGCCCACTCATGACCACATCAAACTGTAGAATTAGTTTTGAAATTTCCCACACATGAAATAAAAGACGTACCATTTTAATTAGTTATCTGCAGAAATAACTAGGAATCAATGCATACTAGCTTTTAGTATTTGTGCTAAGCTAAGCTAAATAAAAGATAGCTTGACTATCCGATAAAAGGATTATCACAAATTGTTAAGGGATGAGTGTGATGGAGGGTTTTACACAACCCACATGCTTTTAGAGTAAACTTAAGGTTGAAAAACAAGCTTATATTTTAGATTAACTAAGACCAAAAATGTGCTGGAAAAGTAAGCAGTAAAAAGTTTAAGACGTTACTGTCCATATCGATAAAATCCCTCAACTTAAAGCATGTGTATGTATCCTTCTGTGTTAAATCTGTACCACAGCGTACATAAACCCTTTGGAAACCCTGTGCCGTAACCTGAGGTGTACCTTCCTAGAAATATAACTACACATCACCACTGATGCAGCCCACACAGATAATAAACACTGGCAATAGTCTGCCTCTTGTGTAGACTACAGTCATTGGCTCTGCATAGACTAATGCCAAAGTATAAATTAAGCAATTAGCTTATTAAGTAGTCAGTAAGCTTAAGAAGTCCAGGTACAGTAATTTCTCTCTTTTTCCAGTTAGCTTAGCCAAGTGAATACTTAACATTTTATTTAACTTTACCTGATTAGTGACAAATCCACAGTTGTGCACATACAGTACCAGTTGGCGTGGTTTTCAAAAAATCTTCCAAAAACATATGGCACATGCTGCTTGAACATATCCTTTATTAGACTGGTTACTTGACAGCTGACAAGCTGTCACTGGGTTTCATTTTCACACTAAAAGCAAACATTTGCATAGAGCTGTGAATTTTGTTTGAAACAAAAAACAAACAGGTGTGAATGAACCACAAAACATATTTAAATAATAGTAAACTAGCAAGAGTCTGACTTGTGTTTAACATATGAACTGCTAATGCAAATAAATTGAAATGTGGAGACCATGCATTAAAATGCAAAATCAGTTCATCAGTTAAATGAGCTATTACTGAAATGAAATCTTTCTACTTTGTGATCTGAATCTACTACAGAGGTGATGCGATCATACAGTAACGTTTCCAAATGAAAACACATTGTACTTTCATGTGAACTTATCTCCACTGCTACTTGTTTAGAAAGAGGAGGAAGTTCAGTGAATGCTGTTAACATTTCCAACATATGACTTTGCTCCAATGGCTTTCTGTGAGCAAGATATGGAAATGAATAAAATGAGTCCTGATTTCATCTTCTGTGTTCCACTGAAGCTCCCCTTTCTGATTGCTTTTCTAAGACACCCTAAATCAGATTTGAACGCTTGACTGAGATGATGACATTCTGGGCTACAAAACAAATGTGTAGGCCTGTGCCTGGCTCTTTGTTTTTGTGCAAGTGTAAATATGTATGGTGGCATTTTGTGAGCAAAAGTACATTTTCAGTTGTCTGAAAAGGACCTATTTTTTGCCTTGTACTGTCATTATGACAGATCTTCTTACATATACAGTAAGAATGTTTGCATGCCTTACTGAACCTTACTCCAGGAATAACATACTCCCCAACATGACTGCGATGATTTTACATGCTTATTCTGTCTGACACAGTGCAAAAACCTCACATTTTCAATCACCCTCTCTCTCCCCATGTCTCTTCTCCAGCCCCACTTAAACGTAAATGAAGCCCTGTGGAACAAAAAGGATGTTGTGTTAAACTTTGGATGGGCTCTCCATTAAAACCTTCTTGGCACAGTCAAGCCTGTCTTCACAGTACAACAGTTACACAGCATACAACAATGAGGACATGGTGTCTGGAAACTCAATATAAACAGATAATATAGATAAAATATTAGGAGGTATTTTGAAAGACTAAATCCATAGACCAAGTCAAGCTTCTCAGGCTACTTGCACAGGACCTGTATTAAACGGCGGCTGCAGTAATTCACAGATTACTCATCAAACTCTGTGGTGGTTACATTTTGTTTTTACACAGGATAATGAAACGGGAAACTCTTGCTGTCTGTAAACCCAAAGTTTAGTAAATTGTTTATCGATTTAGCAACGGAGATGCTAAATCAGACCTTCTTCTGTGGCGTATCAGAGTGAAAAAAGTAATATACAATTTGCACAGGATAGCGTCCTCATTTCACCCAAAACTCTCTTCTCCCATCCTCCACTTCATCTTGTCCAATACCTCCTCCAGTTTCCATAGGAACCTTTTAATGACTGGGATCACCTGCTCCTGTTGCTCATGCCGTTGTATTTACTTAAAGAATACGTTTTGTACTCATTTCACGCTTCACTTTCATTTTTTGGTTTTAAGGGAGTAGCTTTGTTTGATTTACAATTCAACCTAATTTCTACTTATCTTAGACCCTCTGTGCAGCTCTATCATCATCCACTATATGAAGGCAGTTGTCTTGTGCTCCCTTTATGTTTACCTTCCTCTGATTGGCTACCCATCCTAAGCAGAAGGTCTGAATAGGCGGAGCTGCTTTGCTTGTGACCAAATACCATTTTTTTTCCTGTCTTTCATCATCAAACAATTTTGTCAATAGTGTCTAAAAATTAGTCGAACCAGGCAGCGCTAGTGTGATCTATAATGAATTAAGTAATTAGTGAATTACAAATTAATAATAATTTTATAATGTTTAATTTAATTTACAGTGTATCAAATGTATGATCTATAGTAGTGAGTAGAATCCCTGCCCTGGTAAATGGTGTCGTTCTTTGCATTTATACTTTGACTTTTTTTTTTTAGGGCAGCACGGTGGCACGGTGGTTAGCACTGTTGCCTCACAGCAAGAAGGTCCTGAGTTCAATTCCACCATCAGGCCGGGGTCTTTCTGTGTGGAGTTTGCATGTTCTCCCCGTGTTTGCGTGGGTTCCCTCCGGGTACTCCGGTTTCCTCCCACCATCCAAAGACATGCAGCTTGTGGGGATAGGTTAATTGGATAATCCAAATTGCCACTAGGTGTAAATGTGAGTGCGAATGGTTGTCTCTCCCTGTGTGTTGGCCCTGCGACAGACTGGCGACCTGTCCAGGGTGTACCCCGCCTCTCGCCCTATGACAGCTGGGATAGGCTCCGCGACCCTGAAAAGGATAAGCGGAAGCAAATGGATGGATGAAATATAGTATTTTTGGATATCATTCCTTATATATATTATGTCAACATAGACAATAAAACAAAGTTCTAATAGTATTAATGTCATTTTGACATTCAGATCAATCTATTTACCTTGAAGGAGAGGTCAGAGGTCAAATGTGACATGATATTTTGAATCTTTGTCCAGTACTTTTCATGTGTTAGCAAGTTATAAGGCTTATTTTTAAAATTTGCCCAGTAAATCTTTAAATAGATCAGGGGAGCCTTGGTGGATATAACCCAGATTTCACCAGATTGTTAACATGACCTTGCTCTAAACCCTTATAAAGTTTTATCAGAATCAAGCTATTGTGTTTACAGACAAAAAAAAAAGTTTAAAAAAAAAACCCCTGCTAGTGTGGCGTCAATAATAACCCT